GTGGGGGTGGGCAAGGCCTAACTGCAAAGATTTGGAGATTTTCCTTTGCAAAAATTGGTGTTTAGGGCCAGTGAAATAGCTCAGAGGACTAAGTGCTTATTTAGGAAAGCTCAGAGACCTGGTTCAACCCCTGGTACCACATGCTGTGCTGGCCTGCCCCTGGCCTACTGAGTCAGCCACCGAGTCCAGGCGTGGTGGTGCACGCCTGTAATACCAGTGCTGGGGAGGCTGAAACAGGAGTCTGAGCTGTATAGTGAGACCCTGTACCAAATACATAAAAAGAAAGGTATTCACCCTAGTCCTTCTTCACTTCCTACCTACAGGATGGGGGCGGAATAGTCCACTGTCTTTTGGACTTTCTGAGCCTATGCCTTATTCACAGAGTCTTGCCTCTGGAGTACTTGGGTGCGAGACGTGGCCAGGCTCCTGCAGTACATAGGTTGGATCTGGACAGCGGTCTGGCCAGTAGCCATCTAGGATAATCATAAAATCAGAGGATGGGAGCCCAGAGTCTGTGGGGAAGGGCCCTTCTGGTCAGGAGAGCTGGAGCATTGGGGTGAACCCCTGGGACTGGAGAATGACAGGGCCTTGAAGGGAGACCTCAGACCATGTGTATACCAGGGATGTTTTAGAAAGCTCCGAGGCTGAGTTCTAAGGTTTGGGAAATCCCCTGCAGGGAAGCCCTGGAAAGCTGCCTGCCTGTCTGGGTGTGTTTCTCTCCTGGCTGCCCATCTAGGGCTCAGCTTCCCTGACACTGAGTCTTGGGCATCTTGGCCATCTCTTCCATTTTGCTCTTATATTTGCTTCTCTGGGTTCTTCCAGTGTCTACTGTGATTATGGACAGGTGCCTTTACCTTTCTAAGTGGGCATAAAAGTGTCTACTTGTAAATAGTTTCTTCTCTTTCTTTTTTATTTTACTTTTCAAAAATTCATTTATTTATTTACTTGGTACAAGGTCTTGCTATGAAGCTCAGATTTGTAGTGATCCTCCTGTCTCAGCTGCCCCAGCACTGGGATTATAGGTGTGCACCACCATACCAGGTTTTGGGTCCTGCATGGCATCCCTGGCATTCTGGGGCTGGCACTGCCTGTGGTACTAGAGATCAAACCTGGGTCCTTGTGCTTGCCAGGCAGGTGCTTAGACCACTGAGCTGTCTCCCTAGCCCTACTTTTTAATTTTTTAATTAAAGTTTTATATTTTTAACTTTCATTCATTATGACCAATTGAAAGGTTGTACTCTTTGCTAACCTCTCCCACCTATTTCGTTTAATAAAGTCAATATCTGAAGTATACTTGTACAGCAACGTGTACGTGCAGAAGCATGTGTGCACAGAAGCATCTGTACAGAAGTGTGTGCACAGTTTATGAGCAAGTGCCCTCAGCCCTCAGCCAACCTTCTGACCTACTTACAAAGGGTTCTCTTAGACTTGCCAGCCATTTCTTTCTTCTCACCTTTCTCTCCTCCTCCTTTTTTACCCACCTGCCAGGGAACAAAGATAAAGACAAAGAATCTAGCAATTGTAACTTGAAAGGATTATGTGTCTACTACTAGCAAACACTGAGTTAGCTGGGGTGTAAGACACAGTATTGCAAATTAGGTTGGTGTAACTTAAAAGCAAAGTAAAAAGCTCCATAATGTCTTGCTGACCATTTTCAACTTAAAAGCCTAGAGCATAGGGCCCGTTTTCAGGGTGTAGGGAAGCTGCATGGATTTTAAAATGGGCAGTGCACATTCCTAATCAGGGAATGGAAATCATTTGACATCTCCACTACTTATGGAGGACTAAATGGGAAGATTTGTGCAAGGTAGTGGAAAGGGCCAGTGTCCTGCCACAGATGGCCCATGGAAGCCTCTCCAGGCTTTGCAATGTCAGAGCAGCAGATGAAGTGTCTGCCTTCCAGGTCGCAGTGCATGCTGTACACATTTGCCAGGTTGGGCTATTTCTGAGATATGTGGCTCCAAAGCAGGTCCAGACAGGCAGGGAATGTGGTCTGTAGAGAGCTGTAGGGGGCAGTCACTTTCTTGGACCCTCTGTTTAGGGGTCACATGTTCTGCAGACCCACTGAGAATGTATAAGTTGAAAGGATTAAAAAATATGAAGATGGCTCTGGGGGCCAGGAAACAGCTGGAGAGATAGGGTATCTTAGTGACACCCCTTTAGGCCTTGCCTTGGGCCTGATGCTTTTGGAGAACTTGGTTCATCTTTCCTCCAGTGCTGCCTGTCCCTGCACACTGGGAAATCCAGAGCTTAGCACACATGTTAGCCCGCACTAACGGTTCTCAAAGTGTTAATCCTGTACTCTCAGAATCCATATCCCCTGGCAACTCACTACAAATACCCCTCAAACCTCTAGGGTCTCAGAGAACTTTTATTTCTAACAAGCTCTCCTGTGACATTCATGTTGCAGTTCTAGGGACCTCTGCAGGTTTAATGACACTGAAGATCACTATTTTAGAGCAACCTCCAGGAACCTAGGCCACAGAATTCTTAGCCAATACTCCTGAGCCTGCTTCCAAGTCCTAGACATATTCTTGGTTAGGTCTCTCCTCCCAGGAGAGGACTGCACCACTGACACATGTGTGGGCTACCCCTGGCAGGCCCTGCTGCCAGGATCTGTGGGCTAGAATGTCCACATGCATGCGAATGAGGCCTCAGAAGAGGGGGATGAAACAGATGTGGGGAGATAAGAGAGCAGAGTACAATCTGCCTTAATGTCTTCTTCCCTGAGCCTGCAAAGGGTGAGAATTGCCTGGTTATGCTGGAAAGATGGTTAGAAATCCCACGATTGCAGGATCAGCAGGGGTTTTCTCTGCAGGTACATGCCTCAGTTTCCACTCAGCTGTGTAGACTAACTTTTTACTAGCCCATACCTCAGAAAGAGGAGGAGGAGGAGGCAAAGGAGGCGAAGGGGGAGGAGGAGGAAGAGGAGGGGGAAGGGAATGAAAGCAAAGGCAGGCTGATTTTCCTGTGTTGCATGAGGAAAAAATGACTATTCTTTATACCTGCTTAGTGTTTTCAACCAGTGATACACTATGTCAAATTATGTAAGCAGAAATAAAAACAACATCCTAAAGAAGCCCAGGTTTTATCCCTAGCAAGCCCTGCATATAGTTGGAACTGTGCTCATTTTCCCTTAATGCTCCAATTTTGAAACTAAATATACCACTTTCCAGATCCTGGCCTCACCACTTACTGGCTGTCAGATCTGGAATTAATTTTTCCAGGCCTCAGTTTTTCCATCTGCAATATGGGAACAGGAGTCCCCACCTACCTTGCAAAACTGTTATGAGTGTGTGGATAAAGGTTACAACCATGCCCACCCTCACAACATTAGGGTGACTAATGCTCAAGGCTTGTCCCTCTTATCACATGCCTAGTTCTGAGAAAGGCAGCAAAGTGAAGCCCACGACACTAGGCAATAGATCCTGACATCTGGGTGGTGGCTGAGCAGAGTCCAGACACCAATGTCCTGAAGAAAGAGAAGAAAGTAGGCCGAATTCCACCCCCCCCCCCCAGTTCAGTGTGACCCTGGCTGGTCTGAAAGCCTTGGCTTCCATAAATCAACTGCCTGCAGAGTCTTTTCCTTTTCACCTCTCTAACCCTTCTGGCAGCTACCTCTCAGGTCAGGGCATGTGTGTTAGAGGGGTGGCCGGCCCTGCGGTCAGCGTGAGCACCTACTGACTGGTGTGGCTGAGGCTCCAAAGCCCTTGCCTTGGGGCTACATCTGGACAGGCTGGGATAGTTGGGCCTGGGACCCAGTGACACTTTTACTATTAAAATCCACCCGGGCTTTACTAGCTTCTGGGGAAAGCTGGGGGCTTTGGGGATTTTTGTATTTGCTGGGCTGTAAATATTTTATGAGAAAGCAGCCCAGGAAAATCTGGTTAGCTTTCCGCCTTGCACATTGAAGTGGGGTTGGCTTATGCACCAGTGTGCCAAAAGAAAAAAAAAAGTTCAGTTTGGCCTTGGTCCTCAAGAATTTGCTGTGGGTTTTAAAAGCCTGCTACCCTCTGTGGGTCCCATATTTCTTTTTTCCTCACTTACAACGCCCCCCCCCCATGTAACTTCAGGATTAGTTGTAAAACAAGAGAATTTCAAATTGGGTGGTGGGGGAAGAGAGGTGAATGTCAGTGTGTGTGTGTGTGTGTGTGTGTGTGTGTAAGTGTCTGTGGTTAAGGTTTTCTACTTCCAGGTGTTTCTCTTTCTCATCCATTGCAAGATCTTCTTCCTCACCCATTTTTCTAAAAGGCTCACTACTCTTTTACTTCTTGCAAAGGAAGAAGAAACAAAGCGTCACAGGACAGCTCTTCACCCTGCCCAAATGCCTCAGCAAAATTCCCCTTGGGGAAGCCATAGAAGGTGGACCAGGAAGTCTGCAGTCTTACTGTGCTCTTAGATCATTTTGCTGCCTTAGATACTGAGTCAATTTAAACATTTCCCAGAATTCTAATGGGCAGTCAGATTGAGAATAGCTGCTACAGAAGTATTCCATTTAGACCAGAACTAAGTCTAGGTGGCCGCCTCTTGCTGCCTCCTCCTAGCCCCTAGTTGCTGGGCAAGACTGACCAATAAGCAAGCAAATGCAAACAGGGCAGTTCCAGAGAATCCTAAGTGCTGGGACAGTGAGTAGCTCAGGGTGCGTCCTGTGCTAGCGACCGAGAGGCTATCGCGTAGATCGGGGTGGTCTGGGATGGCCTCTCAGAGGAGATGGTGACATGGAAATGTGAATCAAGAGCCAGCAAAGAGTCTGGGGGAAGCAGACTCCTGACCACAAAGGGCGCATTGGTGGTGGGGGTGACCCGGCAGTTAGGGGCTGACCCAGAGGAGGGGCCTCCCCGGTGTGGGCCCGAGTACCGGCTGGACTGGGAGCCCTGGGGTGGGCAGCCCCCCTCCCCCGCCCCTTCGCGGCCCTTTTCCTCTCAGGGCTGCGGGCCGGACAGCACCGAGCTCATCTCCCCGTTAAGTGAAACTGACTGTAATTATTTTTTATCTTTCAGACGATCTCTCACACACTCCTCTCCGGAGACAGAAGTATTTGTTTGATGTGTCCACACTCTCAGACAGAGAAGAGCTGGTGGGCGCGGAGCTGCGGCTCTATCGCCAGGCCCCCGCTGCGCCCTGGAGGCCAGCGGCCGGGCCGCTGCGCGTGCAGCTGTCACGCTGCCTGTCGCCAGAGCTGCTGGACGCGCGCACCCTGGACCCGCAGGGGGCGCCCCCCGCCGGCTGGGAAGTCTTCGACGTGTGGCAGGTTCTGCGCCACCACCCGGGGAAGCAGCTGTGCTTGGAGCTGCGGGCCTCGGGGGTCTGGCCGGACGCCGGGGAGGTCCAGGCGCGCGCGCGGGGGCCCCAGCAGCCCCCGCCCCCGGACCTGCGGAGTCTGGGCTTCGGCCGCAGGGTGCGCGCCCCGCAGGAGCGCGCCCTGCTCGTGGTGTTCACCAGATCCCAGCGAAAGAACCTGTTCGCCGAGATGCGCGAGCAGCTAGGCTCGGCTGAGGCTGCGGGCACTGAGGGGGCCTGGCCGCCACCGTCAGGAGCTCCGGATGTCGGGCCGTGGCTGCCCTCGCCCGGCCGGCGACGACGGCGCACGGCTTTTGCCAGCCGCCACGGCAAGCGGCACGGTAAGAAGTCGAGGCTGCGCTGTAGCAAGAAACCCCTGCACGTGAACTTCAAGGAGCTGGGCTGGGACGACTGGATCATCGCGCCCCTGGAGTACGAGGCCTACCACTGCGAGGGCGTGTGCGACTTCCCGCTACGCTCGCACCTGGAGCCCACAAACCACGCCATCATCCAGACGCTGATGAACTCCATGGACCCCGGCTCCACACCGCCCAGCTGCTGCGTGCCCACCAAATTGACTCCCATCAGCATCCTGTACATAGACGCCGGCAACAACGTGGTCTACAAGCAGTATGAGGACATGGTGGTGGAGTCTTGCGGCTGCAGGTAGCGGTTCCTTCCCCGCCGCCTTGGCCCCGGACCGCGGGGCGGCCTGACTGCAGCGAGGCGGAGGAGGAAAGCTGGCCGTGGAGAGGCTGAGGGTGGGTGGGGGCAGCCTGGACCGGAGGCGGGCTGGAGAGGAGGGGCTCAGCCGGCCCAGACCTTCCACCTGCCAGCTCCGAGGGAGATGCGGATTCACACTTTGCTTGGCCAACCTGGAGCGAGAAGAGGATCCTTCCCCCACCCTTTTATTATTGTGGCTTTGGATTTCTTTGTGTGTCTCACAGGTTTTGTTGGAAGGTGGGGGAAGGGAGATGCACATCTGTTTCTCAACTGCTCCATGAACTGGAAGAAAAAGTTTAAAAAGGGAAGCAATGTGGGAGAAAGAATCAAGGAGCACACCCGGGCTCGGTTGTCTCCACTTCTGTTAGAAGGTGGGGTCTTTCCAGCCATGTCACAGCTAGCTCATGACGAGTCAAGGAGAGTGGGCTAACAGGTCAGGAAAGCGAGCAAAGGTCATGTGCCCAAGGGCTTTGGAAGAGGTGGCCCGGAGACCTGTCCCTCACTCGCGTGTTCCCAGGATTTACCAGCCCCGCCCTAGCTTCTCGTAGCCTGGGAACTAAGACCTCCACCACACACTGGAGGTCTCCTTCTGGACAGCCTTTACCGTGGCTTTTTTTCTGGTTTCGGAAAGGGAGTAGGTATGGATGGAATGACAAGAATTAATGCCTATGGAGCCCCTAGAAGGATAGCAGTGGCAGCGAGGTGCAGTAGCCGAGGTTGGGGTGAGCCCACCCTGAAACGTTTGGCATTGTCTGTTTCTATTTGATTTCTTTCAACAGATATTGTCAAAATTCAAACATTTCCTTCTAAGGGGATGGTGATTTTCTAATTAAAAGGAAAATAGGTAGAGCTTGGGAACTATGTAATTAAGGTAAGAGGTATAGGCAGAATAGGAGGAAAGGCTTCAAGAGATGGGGGGGGGAGTGTGAAGGGGGCGGCACCGCCCTTGTCTCTGAAGTTTCTGAACATCTATGTTGCCTCCCCACTCTCTGACATTCCAGAAAGATTACCAGTCAGCAATATAGCCCAAGGCTCCCCCAAAAGAATTGTTTGGGATTGTAATTACCGGTTAGGCCATGTTTTTAAAACTTAGTAATGAGAAACTGTGAAAAGAGCCAAGTGTTACATTGAGCTTGGGGTAGAGAATGGGAACTGGCAGCAGGGAAAGGCGCAGGGGTGGAATCCATCTTCTGGAAGGAAACAGAAGAGAGTGAGCAGAGAGTACACACTCAAATTGGATGTCCATTCCCAGGTAGTCAAAAATACAATCCTTCCTTCCCCCAGTCTGCAGCAGTATTATTTTCCAACATTGCCCGCGACGTCCCTTTCTCCTCCTACTCTTTGACCATGGAATGGTTTAAACAGAGGAACCTGTACCAACTATTGCAAAAAGTTTTGCTTTCTCTTAAGTGGTTTGCTCTGACCCCATCTAAACTTGTTGCTTGTTTGCTTCAGAGAGGTCCAAACTGTCAAAGAAAAAGTGGGAATGATAATAAATGCTAATATAAAACTGCTAAGTAAGAAGAAAAAGAGACTTGGCCAGGAGAAGTAATTTAAAATGCACATTTGCTTTGGATGCACTGTTGTTCTGTCGAGGCTGTATATATTTGTTTATTTAAGGTGACTGGAAGCGCAAAGAGGAAATGGACAGCATGCAATTCATCTTAATGTACAAAACATTATATGCACTCAAATGTTATAATTTCTAATATTTTTAAAGTTTATATTTGAGTTGTACAAAGTTAAGCATTAATCAGATATTTCATTCTTCCATAATGTTATCATTTTCTTAAATATTATTACAAAATTTTAAGTCTGTCTAATGTTGAGTTTTTTTTTTTGAAAAAACTGCCTACCTCACTACAAGAATTTACAAAATTGAAGTTACCAGAGGTCAATTAATATTCAAATATTTTTTTATAATATGCCTTTTCTGGATGGTACTCATTCTGATTAATAGTGTGTTATTAAACTCATTTCCCCCTTAATAACTCAGCCTGGTGTATATGGGTCTATTTAGAGAAAATTTCTTGAGAGGAATTATTTGTCATGGTATTATGTTCCAGAATGTTTCTGGAAGATTGGAAAAGGTACTGATTGTTTTAAATTACTTCATATAGAGCATTGTACTTTTTCTTCATAAGTTTTAAAAATAAAATATATAGTCACCAGGTTAAAGCCAAATCCTGGTCAGCCTTTAGGACAAGATTCACAAGCCTGGGCCACAGGCCACTGTCTCAAGAGTCCCAGGAAGTATTTGACTATTCCTTGGCTTCTCTTGGAAGCCAGGGCCTCTTACACACAAATCATGTACTCTACCACTGATCTACACACCCAGAGCCTCTTTAATGGCTGACTGCTGTTCACACTTATGGAACACTGAAGGTAGGAGATACCAAGTCTGTACTTGCTGTAAATTGGAGGACCCTTGAAGAAGCACAAGTCTGAGTCCTCAACCTGTGTCAGATACTGTGTTGCTGGACTTTTATTATCTCCTCTAAACTGCTCAAGAATCCACAAGAAAGGTATTATTATAAAGATCATTTTATAGAGGAGGAAATTGAGGTGCAAAAGCTTAGGTAACTCACAGGTGTTCTTCAGCCATGAAGTGGTAGCTCAAATCTAACCCAGTTGCTACTACTGCTTCTATACCCAGCACCCAACTGCCCCAATTTCCAAGTGCCTTGAGCACTCCTGTCCATTCCCATTCATATGTTCCCAGTCCAGAATGTTCCTGTCCTGCACATGTATTTCCATCTCCATCTAAAGTGTTTTTGTTTTTTTCCTTTACCAGAAAGCTTACCTTCATACCCTAACTCAGTCAGTTACCAAGAGAAACACAATGTAACTGAACTACCTGAAGATGTAAGGATCTCCTATCCCTCAACCTTGGAGACATTTATATATACAAAGGAAAATCTTGGTTAAGATGGATTTCTTCTGAATGAAAACCAAACCAAACCAAACCAAACCAAACCAAACCAAACCAAACCAAACCAAACCAAACCAAACCAAACCAAACAAACTCATTTGATGCGAGAGAAGATTCAACATTCAAGCCACACACCATTTTGAGAGCAGTGTGTGAACTAGCTCCTGGGGATTCAAGGATGAATGGGGGTCCTGATCAGTGTGATTTTTTTAGTGTCCCTTAGGAGAAATTCAGGGCAGTGAAGAGATTACTTATAGTTATTTCCTTTGAACATTAGTACTCACAGTATGAAAACAAAACAGTCATTAACCTAGGTTTTTGCCTGAAGTTCTTTGACATACATTGGCACAATTAAGACAAACATTTTCCCTTGTGTTCATTGCTGCTTTCTTAGCACCCAGAGTTGTGCCTGACACATAGCCAACACTTAATAAACGTATTGAGTGAATAAATCTGCAAATCCTGTTCTACCTACAAATGTAGTGATTTTAATGTTACTTTCAAAGGAGCCTTTGATTAATGTCTCTGTCTCAAGTTAACGAATCAACCGACCTTTCCTTATCAAGCAAGTTCAGTTAAAAAATTGGTCAGTAAGCTTCCTTTAAACACAGTCCATTTGTCATATTAATTTAATATATCCAATTTGCTTTTAAAGCCCTTCTTGTTTTTATAGGAGGAAAGTCTTCCCATATAGGTAAACCCACTCTATGGAAATATAGTAGATTAAATTTCTAAAGATTTTATTACTTAAATCCTTAAATTCTATTACATATTTCAATGCTCTTCCAATCTTTTGATTAAACATCAGGAACCTTGCTGAATCACTCATTTAAGTTCATGCCAGAGGCTAACTTGTTAGATACCTTAATAAACTAGTTTCTTGTAGCTTACAATGTTAAATCCCAAATACTCTTTATACAGATTGTCCCAATGATTTTATTTCAGAAAGTATTTTAAAGTTAATATGAAAATGTTAATAATTTAATCCTGCACTACATTCAAAAATGTCTTCAGTTCAAAACACCCATCACTGAAAAATTCTAGTGTCACAAGCAAGAGGCCACGTGCATTGCAGCAGGGCTGCCCACCTACCCCTCGGTTTGGTAAAGAAAGAGATAGGTTTTCCCCTTGGGCACTCATTACCTCACCAAGTCCCTTTTAGGAGTCATTGGAACAAAAGGAAGTCCAAGTTCATGGTCTCTTATGAGTTGGCCTCTTCTGGGTTCCAGAAAGATCATTTAATGAATCCTTCCTCCTGGTTTGAGGAGATTGAATTTCACACTCCACCATCTTTAAAGATGGTAGCTAATTTTCCTCACTGGTTCATTGAACTTTACATTTCTTTAACTCTCTTGGGTCATCTCTTTGTTTTGCCTTTGGCTTTAAAATTGCTACTATATTGGATTAGTCTCTGCCCTTACATAATTCTCCCATAATGTTTTTCAACTTTATCAACAAACTACAGAAACAAGAACTGTGCATTTTTTTCTGTATTCTTCCTGTCTAGAAGAATACAACTCTCACAGACACTCAAATGGTGCCTAGTGAGGACTTCACATGTCTTCCTGTCTAGTTCTGTGTTAATACAAAAAACACTGTTCTTGTACTTGGATTCACAGGAGCATTACTACATTATTTTATTAGGCAATACTCCCAACAACTCTAGTTGTTATTGCCTTGGTTTATAGATGAGAAAACTGGGGTTTAGAGAGACAGTAACTTTTGTGGGAAGAGTTGGGATTTCACTGGGTAGAATCTGCCTCTAATCAGTGAGCTACTAGTATGAGGTAGACACAATTCCAGTCTCTGTGAAACTTTATGTGTAGAACTCCAGATGACAAAAGCTCAGATCCAAGCTGAACATCCACGATCTTCCAGGCTCCTCAAGGCCGGTCGCTTCCTCTACTTGTATTTTGCTTTTTGTAGCATAGTTCTTTCTTCCTTTCCCAACTCACAGATACTCTCAAAGCTTAACCCATTTCTTTAGAAGTCGGTTTTTAATGACTTACTGATTA